TATATATATATATATATATCTCGTCTCTGACTTGAGCAGGCTGGGCCCGGCTAGTGTGGTAGGCAGCCTCGGAGGTCGCTGTCGGCGGAGTGGATGGCGCGCTGGCGCTGATCTGCGGCGGCAGCTGTCGTGCCATGATCCTCGAACGCAGGGTTCAGGGTTTAGGGTTTAGGGTTAAAAGCTGAGCTCCAGCTTCAGTAGTCGGGCTGTGTCCTTGGGTTGAGGGTTTAGGGTTTAGGGTTTATTCTGCTTGGTCAAACGGAAAGGCCTGCCACAGGTCACCTGCGGAGTGGTTGACTACTGAAAGCAAGCAGTGCAGCTGTAATTCGTTAAGAATGTCGATGGCCTACCTGAGCTTGGTGCTGAATATTATCATATGTAGTTCCTGAGCTTATGCTGTACTGTCGTATGTGGGGGTTTCCGAAAATAGGGGACCCTTGTATAGTACCCTAAATAGTAGGATCCTTATTATAAGGACCCCCAAATAAGGTACCCCCAATTTTCGGAAACCCCCATATCATCCTTGTTATAGTAGGGATCCTACTATTTAGGGTGCTATAGTAGGGTCCCCTAATTTTCGGAAACCCCCGTATGTGTTTTCTGTCAGCATCTCAGTGTGCCTTCATCCGAGCAACTCTCAGGAATCTTGGTGCTCGAAGGGTGTTTGTAGTCTGGAACTTAGAGTGGCTACTTACCCTAAACCCTAAACCCCTAAGCCCTAAGCCCTAAGCCCTAAACCCTAAACCCTTAATCTCTAAACCCTAAACCCCTAAACCCTAAACCCTAAACCCTAAACCCCAAACCCCTTGATTTAATGGTTGTGTTGGGAGCTGCTGTGATTCCTTGGAGCCGTCACAACCCCAAGGAATAGGATTGGGATACTTGGAGGTTCATGGGTAGTTATAAGTAGGGCTATAAGTAGGGTAGCTATAATTATAACCCATATTGGGGGACTTATGACCCCACTTAAAACTACCCATGAACCTCCAAGTACTGCAGTTGCTATGCTGAGTACTGCCTCCTTTAAGTTTGGGAATCCGGAGAGGGGTATTGTTGCTTGATGAATTGAAAATCCTGATGCCGTATGTCGAGCCTGCTCCATGCGAAAAGCTGTGCTTTGAAGGCCTATGGGTTGAATGGCGAGGGGTTTTAATCTAGGGTACTTGGAGGTTCATGGGTAGTTAGAAGTGGGGTTATAAGTCCCTTAATACGGGTTATAATTATAGTTACCCTACTTAGAACTAGCCATGAACCTCCAAGTAGAGGTGGTGATAGTGTCTTGGCCAAAAGCAAACGGCTACAGCCTTAGCCAACCTTGAAGTTCGACCTAGCTTGACGGGCAGGTGAAAAAAGAGTTTTCAAACAAAAAACCTAAGCCTTAAACCCTAACTACTGAATTCACCACGCACCGAACGGACAAGCTAAGATGCAACAACCTTAAACCCTAGCTACGGCCCAAACCACCGTATCACTGGCCGTAAAACCCGAGAGGTGAGAAGTTGGTTGTTTTCCGACGAGACTCCTAATACTCCCCAAGACGACGCCTCGTCCTCTCACGCCTCTGTGTGTGAAGGCCGAAAGGCAGAAAGGGAAAACGTTGGTTGTTGCCTCCAGGCAGCGGCTGACTTCCGAAGGGGACATTATCTCTGCCGCCTTCCGGGCCGAAGAGCGCGGATGTTTTGCATTGGCTTGCGGAGCTGTGCCGGTTCGGTGCCAGCGATGAGCGTGAGAGAAGCAGGTTTTGAGACTCCACTCTTTTCTAAAGCCCCGAAACCTAACAGTGCTTGGCTGTGCTTGTGAGCTTAAACCCTAAACCCTAAACCCTAAACCCTAAAACCTAAACCGCATTAGGTCATGCCGATAGCACGCCACATCTTGACGGTGTGCCGCGACGGTACGCGCGCCTCGGAGGAAGACGTGGACTTGTGCTTGGAGGTTCATGGGTAGTTATAAGTGGGGTTATAAGTCCTTTAACAGGGGTTATAATTATAGTTACTCTACTTATAACCCTACTTAGAACTACCCATGAACCTCCAAGTGCGGTGTTCCGAGTCGTGCGAGTTGGTCGGATCGATTGCAGCCGAATCATTGCCAGAGTTTGCACAATATAGGGGCCTGAATAATTAGAATGGGGTTTTGGGGCCCAGTATACTATATTTGCAAAAAGGAACCCCCCCCCCAAAAAAAAAAACAATAGTATCCGTAATTATTTAGGCCCCTGCATTACACTCTTTCGACTGACCCCTGCTGCTCAGCCGAGTTCGGATGGTTCGCTGGAGCAGTTTAGCTGGCCTTGAGAAGCTTTGGGCGCGGTCCGGATGGCCACTCGTTTTTTGAGCCAGCTTGGCATTATGGGCTCGAATCCGACTGCTGCTGCTGAACCCTAAACCCTAAACCCTAAACCCTAAAACCCTAAAGTCGTCATCGTGTCGTTGTCCAAGTTGTCGTCGCAGTGGTGATCGTAGTAGGCACAAGGCAGCAGGTTGCAGCTTACAAGTTGGAGCAGTGGCAGTAGTGCTCGTCGTCGTAGTAGCCACCGTCGTGGTGGCAGTGGCTGTGGCCGGAGTCGTAGTCGTGGTCGTGGTCTTTGGAGTGGTTGCGGTATCAGTGTCAGTATCAGTGTAAGTGTCAGTATCAGGACTACTTGTCGCAGCAGCAGCAGCAGCAGCAGCAGCAGCAGCAGCAGCGGAAGCATCCGGAGCTAGGAGCAGCAGGAGTAGGAGGAGCAGGAGGAGTAATTTGGTAGCAGCTGCTTTTGCTACTTGTTGCTGGGGTAACCTACGTCGACGTGCAGACGTTCAGTTTCCGAGATGCGCGCTATGGTCCCTAAACCCTAAACCCTAAACCCTAAACCCTAAACCCTAAACCCTAAACCGTAGAGTACCTGCAGGGAAACCGTAGTTGTGTTTGTTCATGGCGTGCAAGGAACCTTAAGCCCGGAACCCTAATACTCTAGTTACTTGGAGGTTCATGGGTAGTTATAAGTAGGGTAACTAGTCCCTTAAAGGCTCCTTTAAGGGATCTATAAGAGAGCTCTAAAAGGGGTCCTATTAGGGGTCTATAAGGGGTTATATTTGGAGGTTCATGGGTAGTTATAAGTAGGGTTATAAGTAGGGTAACTATAATTATAACCCATATTAGGGGACTTATAACCCCACTTATAACTACCCATGAACCTCGAAGTAATACTCTAATTTAGGCCCTAGTTAATACCCGAAAGCCCGGGGAGCTCTAGAGATGATCCTTGAGCCTGAGACGTTCGACCCCAAACTCCACACTCAAGGGACTAAAGGAGGGACCCTTAAAGGGACCCTTGGGGTTATATAGGGGCTTTATGAGACTATATCAGGGGTATATAAGGGTTATATAGGGCATCAGGATTAGGGGTCCCTTATAGGGGTCCCTCCTATTGTCCCTTCACACACCCCAAACCGAAGGCGGATGTACGTTTCCACCATCGGCTGCCGGGGAGCCTGTCGACTTGTTTCAGCTGCTTTCCTGGAAACAGCCGGAGGTTTGGAAGGGGTTAGGGTTTAGGGTTTAGGGATTTAGGGTTCAGGGTTCAGGGTTTAGGGTTTAGGGCTCTCTCGGAGGCTTTAACTGGGTCCTTGTTAAGGAGTTGTGATGGTATGAATATATATAGCAAACAATAGGGTTCCTTTTTCGGGTGACTTTAATTGAGTTCCACAAGACAAAACCGGCAAAACGGGATTGGCTGGAAGTCCGAGGATGGCTTTGACAACCTCATCCGAACTTTCATCCTGGAGAAAACGGTGGAATCTGCCATGGACTGGAGCGACAGTGAGGACGATGTACAGAATGAGTGTGCAGAGAGCGAGGAGTCGTCGGAAGACTGACTCCACCAACTCTGCGGCTGCAGTCGCAGGTCTTTCAGAGGATTCGCTTTAATGTAGAGCACATGGGGGTTTCCGAAAATTGGGGTACCTTATTTTGGGGTCCTTATAATAAGGATCCTATTATTTAGGGTACTATATTAAGGTCCCCTATTTTCTGAAACTCCCACATGGAAGTGGTTAAAATGCGGACTCCCTTTCGATCTGCTTGACAATTCTCGGTGTTGAAGCACATGGCATGGTGCACCTGCATAGTCAGTGTTAGGGCAGGGGGCACGGTACTAGTGACTAGTAGTAACAGGGCATCGGGCTCGGTGCACTATCTCTTTGGCTTTCTTGGCCAGGATCAAGCAGGATGCTGCTTAGTGCCAGGTAGGCCAGCAGCCAAAGACTCTGTGCTGCTTGAAAGAGCGCACATGTGCAAGCAAGGGTTTGTATTAGCGCTTTGGTGAGTGTACACAAGGTGCGGTTGAACTGTTTGTCAGTGCACACTTCTGTCGTCCTTAAGGCCCCTAATATTCCGTTAAGTAGTTCTTAACTGCGCCGACCTCCGAGATGTTGCTTGTTGGTTTCATGTGATCTCACCCCGCTTATGATGTAGGTGCTTGGAGGTTCATGGGTAGTTATAAGTGGGGTTATAAGTCCCCTAATATGAGTTATAATTGTAGTTACCCTACTTATAACCCTACTTATAACTACCCATGAACCTCCAAGTATGACCCCTTATAGGACCCCTTATAGAGCTCTTATAATTATAGGACCCCCCTTATAGATCCCTTAAAGGAGCCTTATAACCACCCATGAACTTCCAAGTGACATTTTCTGTGTCGATGGAAGCACGACTCGCAGCATTTTCGACTCGGGACTCCTCCGGCAGATACATCTGGGTTTAGGGTTTAGGGTTTAGGGCTAGGGGGTTTAGGGTTTAGGGCTAAAGGTTTGGGGTTTAGGGTTCAGGGTTCGGGGTTCAGGGTTTAGGGATTTAGGGTTTAGGGTTTAGGGTTTAGGGTTTAGGGTAGGCATTGAGGCTTTTCGCATGCCGCTTGCCGATGCTATGTATCGAATTTTTCAACTCAAGTACCACAGCCGCAAGCCTGAACCCCAAAACACTACACTCCTAGTACCAAAACCTAGTTCCTGAAACGCAAAGCCCAAACCCTCTAATGTACTAGTACGGCCTGGAGAATTACCACTTCTATTCTTGAAATTTCCCTAAAACACTTGGGAGTTTCCGAATAATCAGGGTACTTATTCGGGGGTACTTATAATAAGGATCCTACTATTTAGGGTACTATATTAGGGTCCCCTATTCCGGAAACCCTCATTTATGGTTCAAAAAACATGTAATGCATGCCCGAGCTTTGTTCTACTTGCAAACGCTGCGCGTCGTCCACCTCGGCCTGGCCATGGGTGAAGAGTAGTCTCGGGAATGAGTCAGGCACGGCGGTTTAGGGTTTAGGGTTTAGGGTTTAGGGTTTAGGGTTTAGGGTGTAGGGTTTAGGGTTTAGGGTTTAGGGGAGGCACCGAAGCGGAGGAGAAGAAAGGAGCAGAGGAAAGGCAGGGGAAGGGGCTGGGAGGGGGGGGGCGAGCGTCACATTTCCGTGAAGAAGCACAAGCAACAACACTGAATGAGCCTCCTGCCGTGGGGGTTGTGGTAACTTCAGAGAGCTTTGGTCGCTGGAGGGGTTCAAGGGGAGGGGGAGGACGGGTTTTCTTCTTTCGGGCGGGGCCGCCAATCATCAAGGCCGCTACATCCATGAACCTCCAAGTAGTAGAATGTTACAAAGGACCCTCAACCATAAACCCTAAACCCCTAACCCCTAAACCCTAAACCCTAAACCCTAAACCCTAAACCCTAAACCCTAACAGGCCTCTGCATTACCAACTGTACAATGCTCCGCTCTCTTCGGCTCTCAGCGCACGCTTTTGCTGGTGCGACCACCTTCTGGCAGAAAAGCCCGGGCCCAAGGTTTCATGGGGTTTCGGGCTTCGGGCTTAGGGTTTAGGG